GATCAAAGTTGAAAAATAAATACTTCAAAAATCAAATGTGGACAATTAATTTGTGACAAAGGTACTAATAAAATTTCTATAGGTATTTTGGGTGAGCCAGAAAAAGCGGGAATGAACTTTTAGCAAGCAACGGGAACGAAAATTTATATGCGACTAAAAATCAGAATATAGTGTCACAAAAATTTTGTGCCACTAAAAACCATAATACAGTGGCACAAAAATTTTATGCCACTAAAAAGTTGTGCTATGTAAATTTATTTGTAGTGTTCTTTGATTCGTTTGCTTATAAGAAACTTGATCACATAACAGAGAGTAGTCTTTTCTCACTAAGCATTAAGCTTTCCGGTCATTTATGTTGGGATAAAAGAGAAAAAAAAAACCTACTCTCAGAGACAGTATAATTTTTACGTTGCATTCAATGTTAAGTATTTGTCAGTCAACTACAATGATTGGTTTATGTTTAATTAATGACATTACAGTAATATATTTACATCCCGTTAAAGGGCAACCACACTTAGGAAATCATAAATCTCTCTTGTCAGAGCCTCTTTCTTGTCCAAATCCAATCTACGGGGTTTATTGGTTTAAGACATTACCAAAAAAAAAAAAAAAAACTGGTTAAAAAAGAAGATAATTAAGGTTTTCGGAGAAGGAATGAATAGTAGGTGGCCATTCAAATCTATAAAACTCATAATGATAATTAAAACAAAAATATATATGTTTTAGGGTAAAATAGTCACAGAAAAATGTATGATGGGGACTAAAATTGAAACAAAATCAAATTACTATGCGTGTCATTTTATATTTGAAAAACGTGCAGTGGATTTGATTAAAAAACTATATAATCATGTGGACCAAAAAGGTAATTTTCTCTAAATTGAAATTGGTATGATCGATAAATTAGCTTTGTGAAAATATATGTGTTGATGTGTGAAAAAACTCAAAAAGTGGATTTGATTACAAAAAACCTTTAAAAGTGTACCAGCGTTATTGCTATAAGATACATTGACTTTCAGAAATTAATTGGACGTGTTTTAAAACTTCAAGTTCGTCAACCATGACATATACAAAAGGAATAAATACGTATATAATAAAAGGGAATTGTTTTCATCCATTGACAGAATACGAAACCGTCAAACAACTCAGACACAAAAAGTGGATTGATCGTATCAGATGGTCCACACATAATAATAATATTATAAATATAAGGATTGAATTATGCATGCGCAACTTGTAATATAAGAAACGCATTGAGCTACTTACATTTGACTTCAAAAGATTGTAAACATCAAATGATGATGAGAGAAATATTCCTTCTCCTCCTCTTCTGTTCCTTGATCAAATCATCAGCTTCAAAGAACACCATTAAAGATCATCTTCAGAGGGGTTCCTCTCTATCTGTTAATGATGATTCCAACGTGATAAGGTCCCCAGACAGCACTTATACATGTGGTTTCTATGGCTTCCAAAGCAACGCTTATTGGTTTGCAATCTGGTTCACAAACTCCAAAGAACGAACCGTGGTTTGGACTGCAAACCGCAACACACCTGTGAATGGCCGTGGATCAAAAATGACATTTCGGGGAAATGGGGCCATGGTTCTGACAGATTTGGATGGCATGATTGTGTGGGAAACAAACACAACCTCGACAGATGTGGATAGAGCAGTGCTGCTGAATACAGGTAATCTGGTATTGAAGAACCCAAACGGTCAGATTCTTTGGCAAAGTTTTGATTATCCAACTGATACTCTTTTGCCTTCTCAAACACTAACAAAGAGCAAAAGCTTGATATCTGCTTTAAGAAGAGGAAGCTTTGAATCTGGGTATTTTGGTTTAAGCTATAACAGTATTAACGTTCTAATACTGACTTATGATGGCCCAGAAATATCAAGTGTCTACTGGCCTAGTCCTGATCCTGGTTTTAATGTTTGGAAGTTTGGAAGAACCTCGTATAACAGCAGCAGAATGGCAGTTTTTAACGATGTGGGTGAATTTAACTCCAGCGATTGGTGGAACTTTCGTGCTTCAGATATGGGTTTTGGGATTAAAAGGAGGCTAGTCATGGACTATGATGGTAATCTCAGGATTTATAGCTTGAACGAGTCAACTGGGTTATGGTCAATTTCATGGCAAGCTATTGCACAACCTTGTAATATCCATGGAATCTGTGGGAGAAACGGGATTTGTGTTCATGGAGTACCACCGGAATGTTCATGCCCACCTGGTCATAAATGGACTGACCCTAATGATTTTAGTCAGGGTTGTAAGCCTACTTTCGATCGAACATGTGTAAGTGTAAACTCAACAAAGTTTGGATTTTTGGAACTGCGGAATACAGATTACTATGGGTTTGATCTAAATTTTTCTACACCCATGTCGTTCGAAGCTTGTAGGGACATCTGTTTGGGAGATTGTAGATGTGAAGCATTTAATTACAGGCTAACAGGTGAAGCTTTTTGCTTTACAAAAAGTGCTCTTTTCAATGGCTATAGATATCCTACTTTCCCAGGAACCATCTATTTGAAAGTACCAATTAGCATGGAAACAACAGATTCTGCCTTACTCCTTGCTACTTCTATGGCCACATGTCCCGAGGTAACAGTTATGGTGGGTTCTCAATCTATGTATCAATCATCTGGCAAAAAGGTGAAATGGGTTTATCCTTTCTCCTTTGTTATAGGTATTGGTGTGGTTGAAGCTTTGGTTATCTTTTTAGGGTGGTGGATTTTCTTTAAGAAAAATGCCATCCTAACCAACTTAGAAGAGGGGTATCGAATGGTATCAAGTCAGTTTAGGGGGTTTACTTATCAAGAACTGGTGAAGGCGACACAAAACTTTAAGGAGGAGATAGGGAGAGGAGGCTCAGGGACTGTGTATAAAGGGGTTTTGGAAGATGAAAGGGTGGTGGCTGTGAAAAGACTAGGAGATGTGAGCGAAGGTGGAGAGTTTTGGGCAGAAGTGAGCACAATCAGTAAAATCAACCACATGAACTTGGTGCGAATGTGGGGTTTATGTTCACAGAAACAACACAGAATTATAGTTTATGAGTACGTGGAAAATCTTTCTCTTGACCAGAGATTGTTCTCCTCGAGTTTTCTTCAATGGAAAGAAAGGTTCAAAGTTGCCATAGGCGTAGCAAAAGGTTTGGCTTATTTACACCATGAGTGCCTAGAATGGGTGATTCATTGTGATGTTAAGCCAGAAAACATTCTTTTAGATGAGTCGTTCGAACCAAAGATTGCAGATTTTGGTCTGGCAAAGTTGACTCAGAGAGGTGGTCAAGGCTCGGAGTTTACCAGGATCAGAGGGACAAAAGGATATATGGCTCCAGAATGGGCTAGCAACCTTCCTATCACAGCAAAAGTTGATGTGTACAGCTATGGGGTTTTGGTTTTAGAAATGGCAAGGGGAATTCGACTTTCTAATATGATTATGCAGGAAGGAGAAAAGGAGGAATCGGAGCTTATGAGGTTTGTAAGGATAACGAAAACGAAGCTTCAAGGAGAAGAAATGGAGTCATGGATTGAAGAGATAATTGATTCGAGGTTGGGAGGATTGTTTAGTAGGAAGCAAGCTGTAAAACTTGTTGAGATTGGTGTAAGTTGTGTGGAGGAAGACAGAAATAAAAGGCCTACAATGGGTTCAGTTGTACAAGTTCTAATTGATTGTGAGTCAGAGTAGATGTGCTATGAGGCATAGGACTTCCGTGTTTTCGAAAAAAAAAAGTTTAATAATAGAGCAAGTGGAAAACAGGAATTGAAAAAAGAGACGTGTAGCATGATTTTATGGTTGTAACTTGTATATTTGTAGCATGATCACAAAAGATACTTCACTACTTAATCGTAAATAAATTGGCAATTGTTAATTAATTAGTTCGTACTAAAGATCAAATTCTCGAATTAAGTTAGTTATGTTGTCGCATTGATATTAGTTTACATAAAATTTAATGCATGGAGAGAGGTTGGAAAGGAAGTGGTCCATTGACTTAGAACATGTATGTTTGGGTCTTGGGGAAGGCATGTTACATGGTTGCTTTTTTTTTTTTTTTTTTTTAATAATTATTTATTGTTCCGTTTTTTTTTTTATCAAACACGACCATTGTAAAGCACTTGAATCTAATAGAAACATTCAAATTTCATACAAAGATATTCAACTCTAATATAAATTATCAATAAATCTTACAATACCAAAACATTCAAAGTTCAATAGAAAATTAGTCAAAGTTTAACAAAAACCAAACTAATTATCTTAGCTAGAGCCTTGCTCATCGTTACTCTCGTCATTTGCTTGATGGATGGATTGAATTGAACTCACGAGGGATGAAAGTGGAATTGTGTTGGTGGTGTCGTAGTTGGGATTCCCAACCATGACCATCAACCTTAATCAAATTGTCATTGCAAATATTTTGTAAATTATTGAATCTATTGTTGAATCATTGCAAGTACTTATGTATTTCTGTTGCTTCTGTGTGCATGTGAAGTGGTTGTACTCGGAATGTAATAGGTAAACCATACTTAGCCTCAAATCATGTTCAACTCCCTCTTATGTAGATTATAAGAATTTCCAAAGATAGAAGACGTTCACTCTAAGGCACTTTAGAATGTCAAATCAGCCCAAGTTGTCTTGGTCAGCCTATGCTAACTATGTCCTTAACACAAAACTTAATTAGCTCACAAAACCACATATAATACTATCGATATAAAAAGTTTAAAATAAATGTTAAAATATACTAAAGCTGTAGGGTGTCATACAGTTTTTATTGTCGGCATGCTTATTTGACAGCTTTTAACAGCAGTAAACAACACCCCTCACCCAAATATTTTGTCAGCAGTTCTCTCTCTCTCTCTCTCTCAAAATGACTCTTTTTCTTTTGGGTAAATTACACCGTTGGTCCCTCGTGCACATGCCAGAAAGCATGTTTAGTCCCTATTTCCAAAATTTAACTCGTGCAGTCTCTCGTTGTTATTTATCTTGCATGGTTAGTTCCTATGCACGTTAACTGTTAAATTCTTCCGTTTAAGCTACCCACGTGCCTTGCACGCAGGGGCATTTTCGTCTTTTCAGGGTTTGTATATATGAACCAGTATGGCGCGACTTCGATAACCGATCATTTCTGATTTCATCCTCCGTCGACCCTTAGCATTGCACGAGAAAACCCTAGTTTTCTACGATGGTGAACTGGAGGATTAGGCAAGAATGGGAGGAATACGATCTCCAAAGCTCATACGGTAAAATTTTCTACATTTTCAGTTGATCATCCATTATACGTTCCTAAAACGTAATTTTTTTTTGGGTTCGCAGCTGACAATCCATGTATGTTCTCGATACGATTGAACTATGGTGGAGTTTTTACGAAGTTTCCAGGCCGCAAATACATAAAGGGGAAGATGAAATATATTGATGGCATTGATAGTGACTTGTTCTCGGTGCATGATATGGACGAGATAATGGAATTGCTTGATTGTGTGGAACCAGGTAAAAGTATTTATTATCATTTCAAACGACCAACCTGGGATTTAGATTTTGGGTTGTATGCTTTGGGTTGTGACGAAGATATAAACCACTTTAGGTCATACGTGTATGAACACAAGGTGATAGAAGTGTATACAGAGTTTTGGGAAACCAAGCTCCATACGTATCAAATGTCCCCAAACCCTGCAAAGATAAAGATACACGAAATTCCTGAGTCCCTTTGTCGTAAAAGCTTGTTATTGACATGGTCAAATTCAGGGGATTGTCCTAGTGAAGAAGCCCCTGTTTTTGAGAATGTAGAAACTATGGACGAACCCCCTAGTACATTACTTGAAACAACCTTGGAACAACCCCTTGTTACATTGAGTGAAACAGTTGAGTCAACCCCTGCCTATATACCAAGAATTGAAAGCCCTTTGACTGAACCAATGATAGGAAGCACATGTCCTAATGTTGATGGTTGGGTGATACATTTGAATGGTGTGAACCTTTTGGTGGGACTCCTATGGAACAAGATGAACCAAATAGTGAAAAAGCAGGTGAAGACAGTCAAGCTAGTAAAGACAGTCATGATAGTGATGACACTGAAGATAGTGAATACAGTCAAGATAGCGATTACATAGTTGATGAAGATAATTTGTTAGATGATCCAGAGGTTGATATGAAGAACTTTCACCTCAACATTGACAAAGAGGTGGAGTGGGTTGGAAGTTTTCCTGATGATCGAGATGAAGCAGTAGAAGGTGATGAAGAATTAGAGGTTATAAACACTGAAGAATTTGTATCTGCATCTTCATCAGATGAGGGTGAAGCTAGTAAAAAAAGGAAGAAGATAAGAGATTTACGAAGAGCACATAAGAATGAAGCAGCTGCTGTCAAAGATCCATTTTACATCCACCAGACTTTTAGCACAGCCAAGGAAGTTAAACAACAAATTTATCTTCATTCCATACAGAGTAGAAGGGAGTTAGACTTCGTCAAGAATGACAAAAATAGGATTAGAGTGGTTTGCAAAGGGACAATACCAAACCTTGGGATATTAGAAACAGGTGGGACCAGCAAAAGTAATGACAAAGTGGGACCAAGTCAAAAGAAAAAGAAAGTGAAAGATGGTTCTATTCATAAATGCCCATGGGTCCTACTAGTGAGTAAGTGGAAAAAAGACATTAACTGGACTGTTAAGACCTATGAAAAGCAACATACGTGCCTTCAAACAAGGAAAATTAGGGCATGTAACTACAAGTTTCTCTCTGAACAGATTGTTGACACAGTGGAGGCAAACCCAGAAATACCACTTAGAGCATTACGTGAGATGCTTGAGAAGAAATACCAACTTGGATTGTCAGACATGAAAGTTCATAGGGCGAAAACGAAAGCCCTGGAATCAATTAGGGGAGATTTTGCTGCTCAGTACTCATGTCTAAGAGACTACTTACAGGAGGTGCAGAGTAGAAATCCAAACACCACAGTCAAACTTCAAGTGCAAAGTGAACCATGTTATGCATCTGAGACCAGGGTATTTGAACGAGTATACATTTGTCTTGGTCCACTGAAAAGTGGATTTGCAGCAGGGAAAAGAGATTTACTAGGGCTTGATGGTGCATTCATGAAGGGTCCATACCATGGTATGATCCTGACAGCAGTGGTATGTGCATAATCATATTTTAGTATTTGATTAATGTTTGACCATAGTTAATTGTTTGCTTATTACTGTGTTTGACATGATAATTCAGGGTTTAGATGGGAACAATTGCACATACCCTTTGGCATATGCAGTTGTTGAAGCAGAGAACTTTAATTCATGGACCTGGTTTTTAACTAACTTAGGAGATGATCTTGGTTTGTATGCAAACTCCAACTTCACTTTCATATCAGATAGACAGAAGGTAAATAAAGTTCTCCATTCATTTTCACATGCATGTTTTACAATTCAATAAGCAACTTCACTCTTTTGATGATTTAGGGGTTATTGCCTGCACTTGAGAAACTTTTCCCAGCAGCAGAGCATAGATATTGCCTAAGGCATCTTCATGAGAACATGAAACGTAAATGGAGGGGCAAGGAATTCAAGGATTGTCTTTGGAAATGTGCAACATGTACCACCATACCACAATTCAACAGTGCCATGGAAGAACTAAAGAAACTTAACAGTGAAGCATATGACTGGCTTAATTCTATTCCACCTAAGCACTGGTCCAGATCCCACTTCTCAGGTATATAATATTATGTTTATAAGTGTATAATTTTTAAATATAATCTAATACAGTTGTGTTTTATTAGGGAGGGCACATTGTGATGCTTTGTTGAATAATATGTGTGAGAGTTTGAATAGCAAGATAGTGAAGGGTCGTGATAAGCCAATTATCAGTTGCTTGGAGTTTATTAGGGAGTATATCATGAGGAAAATTGTCATGGTTCAAAAAGAAATTGATAAAGCTAATGGCCCATTAACTCCTACAGCCACTAAGACCCTTGAAAAAATTAAAGAAAGGGCAGTACAGTGTAGGGCAGTGTTCTGTGGCAATGGGAAGTACCAGGTTACAAGTGAAGGTACTAATCAGTATGTGGTTAATATGGACCAACAAACTTGTTCATGTAATAGGTGGGAACTGACAGGCATACCCTGCAAACATAGTATAGCAGCTATATGGGATATGAGGCTCAACAATGAAAATGTTGGAATACCTGAGACATGGGTACACCCAACTTATTGGCTCAAGACATGGAAAGAAATGTATGTCTTCAAAGTTGAACCTATTAATGGGAGGTTATTGTGGGAAAAAAGCACATGTCCTACCAAGTTGATACCACCAAAGTATCGTGTCCCTATTGGCAGACCAAAAAAAAAGAGAAGAAGATCTGCAACAGAAGATGATGGAGTGTCCACAAAATGGAAATCTGTAACATGCACAAAATGTGGAAATGTGGGCCATAATGGAAGGACCTGCAAGGGACAATCACAGACTGGGAATGGAACAGGAGAAGGTGCAGCAGGGAATACAACAGGAGAAGGTGCAGCAGGTAGCAGTGGTGGTGTACAAAATGGAGTTGGGAACAAAGGAAAAAGCCCCATGCTTTGAGAATTTGTAGTTTGGTATCATGATCATGAAGGATAACTATGTTTTTGTTAGGCATTTATTGCCATATTACTTTGTTGTTATGTTTTGTATTTTGATACTTTGTTGCTGTGTAGGATAACTATTTGTATGCCATAAGACTATGTTGTTATTTTGGATGTCCCTTTATGTTAATGGTCAATGGTTATCTTGGATATTTTAGAGTTTTTGTCCTTTTTAATTGTTATATTGGATGCTAGTATTGAATGGTATATTGCATATGTTGCAAATACCACATTTTCATTAAATTTGAACACCAACTGATAACACCACATTATGATTACACAATATATTGTAACTAAAATTGAAATTTTTTTGTTAATACAAATAACATTACAAAGAGTCTCCATTACAAAATACACATACCAAAATACTAACAACTTCATTACTTAACCTACACTTTATATATAAGGACTGAAACAAAAAAAACCCAGCTAATAACTAGGTAAAGCTTCAATTTGCGATTTTGTTCTTCAAGTTTCATCCTAAACGCCATACAATCACAGTCCTGATCATAATCATTCACCCATCCTATGAACTTGCATAATGGTCCCTGAACCAATTAAAGTAGATGAAGAATTAGGGCAAAATTAGAGAAGACGAAGAACGAAATTGAAATCATTAACCTTACCTTTACTGTACAAGCATAATAGAGTTTCCCAGGGTTTCTTTTGCTATAAGATGTGCGAATCACTGCAGTGGCTCCACAATTGCATTTAATATCGATCATTGTTATGTATTTGGAAGAAATCGATCGAACGAGGGGAAGAGACGAACGAGAGGATACAGAGGAAAAGAGGGTTGCAGTGTTCTTTATAAGATTTAAGGTGTAACGGCATTAAATATGGACACAAACCCTAAAAAGACGAAAATGCCCCTGCGTGCAAGGCACGTGGGTAGCTTAAACGGAAGGATTTAACAGTTAACGTGTATAGGGACTAACCATGCAAGATAAATAACAACGAGGGACTGCACGAGTTAAATTTTGGAAATAGGGACTACACATGCTTTCTGGCATGTGCACGAGGGACCAACGGTGTAATTTACCCTTTTCTTTTTTTGCATACGGTAAACACCACCTCTCTCTCTCTCTCTCTCAAAATGACTCTTTTTCTTTTTTTGCATACGGTAAACACCAAACCTTAACCATTTTTAAAAATGGTAAATATGTCCCCATCTGCATAATGGATACATATTACCGGTGGTATGATATGGTTTAGTTTAAAAAGGGTAAAATATCATTTTATATTCATTCAAGGAAACATAAATAACATCATCTAAGTGGTGACCATGGATAAAATAAATAGAAACTAAAATGACAGTCCAAGACAAAACTTCAAAAATGGTCCTTGTGGTTTTCGAAAATATCAAGTTTAGTTCCTAAGTTTAAAAAACCTCATGGATCGTATCTGTGGTTTCAAAACTTTTAACATTTGATCATTCCGGCTAACTCCGTTACCATTTAGCCATTAAGTCAGGGGCATTTTTGTCATTTCACTACACAGGGACCATTTATGAGGTTTTCTATTACTTTTTTTAAATAAATAAATAAATATAATATGCAAGGGGTCCCACACTTCTCTCTCTCTACAAGGGGTCCCACACTTCTCTCTCTCTCTCTCTCTCTCCATGTGCACCGATCCTCCTTAACCTCATTCTCTTCTTCATCTTCTTCATGACTTTCCCCTATCATCTTTGTCTCTCTGTCATCACCCTTCCCTACCCATGAATGATCTCTATTATTGCCACGTATCTCTGATGAGTCAAAACTTATGGAATCATCAATCAACCCCAAACCAGTTCGTTCAACTGGTTTTTGACCGAACCGGATTTTGTAATCTAGATCATGGTTTAGTTGTTCCAGTTTCCTTTCTTTTTCAAGTATTCTGTCACTTAAACTACTGCTGCTTTGGTTTCCATTTCCATTAAATTCGTTTTTTGCATCTGAACCAGAATTCTATTCTCTCTTTAGATAATCTATCTCTTCCTTCAAATTCTTTATCGCTTCTTCTATGTCAGACCTGACAAAAAATTAAAAGGCTCAACAATTTATTATGATGATGGGTATTCACAATAGAAACACCAAAGGTTACTAAAAGACCAAGTATGAAGATTAATATGCAATATTTCTACAGTTTCTCGATGATGATGATGATGATGATGATGCTTGAATGGAATACCCAATTTCACATAGCCAAAGACCAGAGATGTTCATCAAGTGTCAAGAGAAGAATAGAAAATAATAGATAGGAATACTAACCTGCCAAGCCGACGACGCTCCAACTCTACATTAATCTTTCTGCAATCAATACCTTTTTCTCTTGAAGCAAAACTTCTCTGGAGTTAGCATCGCCAAAAGGGTTCACCTTAGACCTTGTCTTCTCTAATCCCTGTGGTTGCAATGCAGTCCGTCACTCTACTGAACTGCCGGAATGTGAACTCGTGGGCCGACTGCTACTTTTCTTAGCATCAATTTCCAAATCCACCTTCTTGTGAACCAAACCTTTCCCAGCCCCTGGGCCTAGCTGCCCCAAAAGGACTCGGTTTATTGGTGTGCGCCGATGGCTCAACTGGAGCACTTTCACCCTTTGGTGGATCTAACGCCAAACGTCGGCGTTCCGTTGGTCGTTCCTGATCACCATCACGAGGCACAACTCCCCTTTTCTAACAATCATCTTCAGAACCACCGGAATCCCGAAAACCAGGACCGGAATTAGAAGAATTGGTGAGTGGCATGGGCTCCTTGCTCGCCGTCCAATTATCAATCTCGTCAGCTCTAGAAATCTCGTTATAAGAAGGCATCATAGGTTTCTTCGTCACCCCCCAATTATCGACCTCGTTTACCCTAGATGGTTGATCATATTCCAAAATCCAAGGAGCTGAAACTCTACGATCATCACCAAACTCACCATAAGACTGTTAGCTTATCTCATCGGAGTTGTGGCTTCGTGGAAAACAAGGGTCGATCAAAGCAATAATAGAGGGTGTTTGGGGTGATGCGTCTTAACGAGAGAGAGAGAGAGAGAGAGAGAGGGGAGGGAGAGAGAGAGAGGGAGGGAGGGAGAGAGAGAGATAGAGAGAGAGAGAAAGAAAGAGATGGAGTGGGACCCCTTGCATATTAAATACTAGTTTATAACCCGTGAGAACCACGGTTAGAAAATTAATTAAACTTTCTAAGTAAAAACTCAAAACTATTAATTAATAATTTTAAATAACTTATTGATTAAAAGATATTTTTTAGTTATATATAAAATTATAATCATTGATTCAAATAAATACGTAAAATATATCATCTTATAACTTGTATAAATTTTATTTTATTATAATTGGTATAAATTTTATTTTATTTTTATTCTAATATTATTAATTTAATGTAATTAAAATGTGATTTAAATTTTGAAATTTGAAATTTGAAATGGAGAATTAATAGATTGAAAAGTACCATGATATTAATTACAATACTTAACATGGTAACACATGGCAAAAGAACTACTCTTTTATTAATATAGAGATTAAATATTTATTTATTTAAAAAAAAGTAATTAAAAACCTCATAAATGGTCCCTATGTAGTGAAATGATAAAAATGTCCCTGACTTAACGGTTAAATGGTTACGGAGGACCAAATGTTAAAAGTTTTGAAACCATAGGGATGATCCGTGAGGTTTTTTGAACTTAGAAACTAAACTTGATATTTTCGAAAACCACAGGGATCATTTTTAAAGTTTTGTATAAAACAATAGTCTTAAGGACGAAATCCATAACCAGTAACATATCTAAGGGACGAAACATGTAATTTATTCTAAATTAGGTAGTCACTTTTTTTCTATGAAAGGAAAAAGGAAAATAATGCATACGAATGAGCAGCTGTAAGCGGCTACAGGTACTCAACTCTCACATTTCCGGTGCTCCCCAACAGTCTTCTGCGATGGCGTCTGAGAAAGACGCAGCTCTTGCTGCCGTTGCCTCCGACTCTCCCACCATGTACACTCTTCCTCTGCCACTATTTACTCATCTGCTAGTGCTGGATGATTATCCACATAACCTTTTGATCTACATCGTCTCGTCTGTTGTCGTGGGCTTATCTATGGCTTTCCGTTGTCATCGTGCTCCTGATTGTATAATTAATGTTTTGTACCACTGATTCGTTAACTAAACCCGTGTCTGTCGTTTTATACTCCCTAAGTCCCAAAACAGGGATAACTTTAGGGTTTTGCAAGTCGATTTACGATGTTATTCAAATGCAAAAAATTGCCATGGCTTTTGGTAATAGTTCATCACAAATATATCTCCTTGATAGGTCCCAAATGTAGAGACCAGAGAGCAAGGAACTTGAATTGATTATCTTCTCTTCGTGTACAAACATTTCTTGAGTGACCAAACTGGAGCATTTGTTACAATTGGTTGCTAACTTGCTATTTAATGTATTTTACCCTCTATAAAGTGGTGTATTCATTAAATCTTCGAAAATGGCATTCTGCTTGTTTATTCATTAAATCTACATCCTTGATCCTTCTTAGGTTGTAGGCTCCAGTGAAGCTTCTGAACATGTATTCTACTTAATATCTGTACACTTCAACTACCTTTGACTCTTCTTACTTTACCACAAAATCTTGTATAGATTTAATGATCTATTTTATTTAAAATGGAAGACTTAATGCTTAGCAGTTTCTACCATTTAGATTGGTTTCTTTTAAAATTTTCTAGTTGATTAGCTGGTGATTGCTATAACAGTAACTATACCTTTTGATATAGTAGGGGCTTACAGTTTTTCTTATAAATTTATACTGCATCAAAAGACTTTTCAGTTTTCATTAATTATGTCTTGTTTTGATATCTTCTAAGCTTAAAATATGCTTATGTTGGCCTCCTTTTCTCATTTTACAGCTTTGACAAGATTATTAACAAGCAAATACCAGCAAATGTGGTTTATGAGGATGATAAGGTAGCAGCACATTACTGTTTTGACTTCTAGTTGTTGAGATATTTTATACTTTGAAGTTTGAACTAAGTCACTAACTACCAACATTTGTTTAATGATCAAATTTGTACGTACTTGAATTCAACCTTCTTGGAAGAGGTTGTAACATTTTTAATTAACCATCTAAATGCCAATGCAATATGAGACTTTTTTTGACTTAATCTGGTCAGAATGACTTAATGGGTTAAGCCAAAAAATCTGGCTTAATGTATAAAGACACCACCCTTTATTAGGTTAAGCACTTAGGGGCTGTTATTTTTCTTAAATTTCACACTCCTCTTCTTTGGCAGGTTCTTGCATTCAGGGACATTGCTCCTCAAGCACCAACACACATTTTGCTTATTCCAAAAGTTAGGGATGGTTTGACTGGTCTGTCTAAGGTAATTAAGTATATTCACATTTTACACCATCATATATTAATTTAATCTATAAAAAATATATATATACTTTTGTAAATTTGTATGGTTTGATTTCATTTTCATGTGATGTTGTATTTGTAGGCTGAGGAGAGGCATTGTGAGATTCTTGGTCATCTTCTGTACACTGCAAAGGTTGTAGCAAAGCAAGAAGGCCTTGAAGAAGGTTTCAGAATTGTGATCAATGATGGACCAAATGGGTGTATGTATACTTTTATACTTTTATATTAATATCATTATTATTATTATTATTATTATTATTAATTTTGTTTTGATGCATTTTTATTTTTTATATACAATGTTTTACAGGCCAATCTGTTTACCATCTTCATGTTCACCTCCTTGGGGGACGACAAATGAACTGGCCACCTGGCTAATCTAATATGGCATTTCCCTCACTACTCAAAGCCTAGTTGTTTGATATTGTTGACTGAATTGTAATGCACATTTATGGGCTGTGTTTGCCTTGAAATTTAAACCAATTAGCAGGACCCCCTACTATTAATGGCAATGTTCATAATAATAATAAATCTAGGCTTTGAGTACATATTGTATGGCTGTCCAAGACTTAAAAAGACCCTCTTTTATTGTGTTTCACATTTATTAGTCTGATGTGAATGGGACAAAAATTGTAATTTTTTTTTTTTTTTTTTTTTTTGCTTAATCTTGTCTGAACAAAAGACATGAATGCCTTAATCATTGAACATAGCCCTAAAAGATTGCTGAATCTCTCAGTCATTTCGGCATATTATGATATAGTATAAATTACCCCCACAGGTGACATTTGAAGTAGTTTGTAGTTTAAACATAACAGTACTACTAATGCAAGCATCATCCAGAGAAATAATAGTAATTTTATTACTTAAATTAAAACTTATTTAAATTCTCATTAAAATATAAAATGTTCACGGTCTTCCGTGTAAAATGGACTACTCCAGACTCTTTTGGAAAACCTGCTACAAAAGTCGTGAAAATATTAATGTATCAATTCAGATTCTTTTAATGCATGAAGTTTTAATACGACTTAGATGTAATTATTAGGGCTGAAAATCTACCGATGTTATTGTTCATAACACCTTAGGGCTGCTATAGACTTTTAGAGTAATCCTATTTATGGATCATTTTTCTTTATAATAGAATAGGCCTCATCAAATTTAGGTTCAGGTTACTGGATTAAAAGTGTTGGGGGATTGGGTTAAAACATTTACTTAGCCCACTTGGCTTTCTTGGCCAGCGTTACATCAGCAAACAAAACACCATCAAACAAAAGAAAAAAAATAGGGTTGGTCCTAAGGAATTAAAAATCTTCAAAAGTTCGGGACGAGCTAGATAAAAAGGGCTCGTATCGTTATTATAAATTTTTATTTTTCAATTAATATATATAATAAAAATAAATTGGACCTTGTGCAACTGCCCACTTTGACCCCGTCAACGCCTTTTATGAGAAAAAGTAACCCTTTTGATTTGGAACATACCAAAGATCTAGCGGAAACATTTATGGACAAATGGGAACATAACAAAAATGGGAACATAACAAACAGGATCAAAAGAAACCCATAACTTTTGATCCATACGTAGTTGGAGATGTGCGATATACCAACGGAAAGATCTTTACAAGCACGAGCTCGGTTGATTCTCAAATTCCACTGTTTCGGCTTCCGAATCTCAATTTCCCTAATTTTCAGGCAACTTCCGTTTTTATTATATTTTGAGAAAATATATGCTTTCTTTATTTTATGAATTTCCTACTTTTATTTAAATGCTTAATTGGAGGAATTTAATGTTAATTCCGGTTTTCCAAAATTTGGCATACTTGCCAAATTAGATCCCTTTACAACCTCTAGGTAAAGAGTTTGTAAGCCTTTTATAGGCATCATGAATTGAGTAATAAAGTCTTATTGAATCTTTATTGTTCTTGCTTTTGTTTTGCATCCGTTGATATTAGAGCACGTTTGCATCTTTATGGCGAACGACATTAAAGATGGTCCATAACCAAACCCTAATGGTCATAGGGATGTCAAAAAGTCTCGTGGGATCCCATACTTGCCAAATTAGATCCCTTTACAACCTAATGGGGGCGGGGGCAATGTTAACCCCCGTTTTAGTTTCGGAGGCGGGGGCGGGGGTGGGTAGTCCCGTCCCGAACCCCCAGTGGGGACCCCGTTAATATATTAATTATAAAAATATAATAAATAATAATAATGATATTAAACTTTCAAATTTCAATTAAATATCATGTTTTTAAGTTTATAGTATAACGTTTTTAAGATGTTATAATATTTTTATTTTAAATATATAAACTTATGCTATAAATAACTATTTTTATCCAAAATAGTTTCTTTTAGCTCAAAAAATAATTTCTTTTAGCCTAAACAACACCTTCGTTTGCCAAAAAAAAGTCAACCCAAACGGGGGCGGGGTAATCCTGGGATTTGGGGCGGCGGCGGGGATGGGGATGCTAGAGATTTCGGGGGCGGGGGCGGAGGCGGGGGAACAGAAAAATTTCGGGGGTGGTGGCGAGGAATGGAATCCCTGCCCCGTTTGCCCCCGTTGACATCCCTAAATGGTCAGGGTCGCACAATTGAAGATCTTTGGTGGGCATTTAATGCTCTTATGAACTAGCTGACTGAATCATGCATTGTGATCGTAGATGATCGTAATAGCCGTGGAAATTAGGAGGTTGTAAACAATGACGACAATCAAAGGAAACAAGACAACACCCGTAGTGGTGCTAGGGGAGGTTGGCGTCCTCATGCTAACAATACAAGAGTAGTCCATGAGAATTAATTTTATGATGAAGAAAATGAAGAATGGTTTAATTGTTGTGGTAGAGGGGAAATAATGATTATGGATTGGGCTATTGAATCAAGGCGAAGATCCTAAATTTCAATGGGAATACGGACCTTGAAGGTATTCTCGACTGGTTGTATGAGGTCGTTAAATTTTTCAATATCATGGACATCCCATAGCATCAACATGTGAAGATCGTTTCCTAAAAACTTTTTGCTAAAGTCGGAGCTTGGTGGGACCATGTTTAGAAGGGACATACATGACAAAAGAAGTGTTTGGTGGAAGAGTGACACCCATGAAGATGCCAATAAAAATGAAACTCAAGGAAATTGACATGTCACGAAATATATTGCCAAGTTTATGCGGTTGTAGGTACCATCTACATGTAACAAAAGAATAACAAGCACCACGTTACATCGATGGCCTAAAGTAAAATATTCAAGACCATATGGGTCTACAATGTATTTGGTTTATTGATCAAGCCCAAAACTAGCCCTAAAGACACAATGGCAAATATCTAGATCTTTCTATACTCCCAGTCATCCACAAATAGACACAATCAAATGAGTCATAGACAATATCTAAATTGAGCAAAAATAATTGTTTTATATATATTGTTTAGAGTTTTTTTTTTTTTATTTAATCTTGTGTGTGTGTGTTGGGGGGGGGGGGGGTATGTGGTTCATTTTGAAAGAACATAAATAAGTTGATATTTTTTGAAATAAACAGTTCTATTTCGCAATATATCTATAAAATAACAATATATTTTAAAAGTAAATTGTCAAATGTTGGATTACACAGGAATATCAAAACAAATGATACATAGCATGTCTACTCCGACTCGCAATTGATTAGATCGTGAACAACAGAATCCATAGTAGGCCTTTTATTGCGGTCTTCCTCCACACAACTTACACCAATCTCAACAAGTTTTGAAGCTTGCTTCATACTGAACAATCCTCCCAACCTCGAATCAATTATCTCTTCAATCCATGACTCCATTTCTTCTCCTTGAAGCTTTGTTTTCGCTACCCTTACAAACCTCATAAGCTCGGTTTCTTCCTCTTCCCCTTCCTGCACAACAATATTAGAAAGTCGAATTCCCCTTGCCATTTCTAAAACCACAACCCCATAGCTGTACACATCAACTTTTGCCGTGATAGGAAGGTTACTAGCCCATTCTGGAGCCATATATCCTTTTGTTCCTCTAATCCTAGTAAACTCCGAGTTTTGACCACCTCTTTGAGTCAACTTTGCCAAACCAAAATCTGCAATCTTTGGTTCGAACGACTCATCTAAAAGAATGTTTTCTGGCTTAACATCACAATGAATCACCCATTCTAGGCACTCATGGTGTAAATAAGCTAAACCTTTTGCTATGCCTACGGCAACTTTGAATCTTTCATTCCATTGAAGATAAGTCATGGAAAACAATCTATGGTCAAGAGAAAGATTTTCCACGTACTCATACACCAGAAGTTTGTGTCGTTTGTGTGAACAGAATCCCAACATTCGTACTAAATTCATGTGATTAATTTTACCGATCGTGCTCACTTCTGCCCAAAACTCTCCACCTTCGCTCACATCTCCTAACCTTTTCACAGCCACCACCCTTTCATCTTCCAAAACCCCTTTATACACAGTCCCTGAGCCTCCTCTCCCTATATCCACCTTAAAGTTTTGTGTCGCCTTCACCAGTTCTTGATAAGTAAACCCTCTAAACTGACTTGATACCATACGATACCCCTCTTCTAAGCTGGTTAGGAGGGCATTTTTTCTATAAAAAAGCCACCACCCTAACAAGATAACAAATGCTTCAGCCACACCAATAGCTATAGCGAAGGAGTAAAGATAAACCCATTTCACCTTTGTTTCAGATGGTTCATACATAGATGGAGAACCCACCATGACTGTGACGACATCTACACATGTGGCGTTAGAAGTAGTAAGAACTGAGACAGATTCTCTTGTTTCCATGTCAATCGGTACTTTCAAGTAGATGCTTCCTGGGAAATTAGGAGACCGAAAGCCGTTGAAAAGAGCATTTTTAATAAAGCAAAATCCTTCACCAGTTAACCTGTAACTAAATGCTATACATCTACAATTTCGTAAACACATATCCTTACAAGCATCGAACGAAGTTGGTAAGAATGCATCTATTGAATTTAAATCAAAGCCATAATAATCTGTATTCGGCATTTCCAAAAATCCAAACTTTGTTGAGTTTGAACATGTTGTATTGAAAGTAGGCGTACAACCCTGACTTACATCAGTAGGGTTAGTCTGCTGGTGGTTGGGTGGACATGAACATTCCGATTGTAGTACTCCGTTATCACAGATTCCATTCCTCCCACAGATTCCGTGAACACTACATGGTTGTGCAATAGCTTGCCATGAAATCGACCATAATCCAGTTGAATCGTTCAAGCTATAAATCCTGAGATTACCATCATAGTCCATGGTTAACCTTCTTCTGATCCCAAAACCCATATCTGAAGCATTAAACTGCCACCGATCGGTTGACCTAAATACACCAAAATCATCAAAGAATGCGATTCTGCTGGTGTTGTATGAAGTTCTTCCGTAAGACCAGACATCAAATCCAGGATCGGGACTAGGCCAGTACGAAACTGTTGTTTCTGGGCTGTCGTAAGTCAGTATTAACACGTTAATACTGTTATAGCTCAAAACAAAATACCCAGGTTCAAAACTTCCTCTTCTTAAAGCAGATATCAAGCTTTTTCTCTTTGTTAGCGTTTGAGAAGGCAATAGAGTATCAGTTGGATAATCAAAACTTTGCCAAAGAATCTGACCTTTTTGGTTCTTCAATACCAGATTACCTGTATTCAGCAGCACTGCTCTATTTACGTCTGTGGAGGTTGTGTTTGTTTCCCACACGACCATGCCATCCACATCTGTCAAAACCATGGCTCCGTTTCTCCTAAATGTCATCTTTGATCCACGGCCATTCACAGGTGTGTTGCGGTTGGCTGTCCAGACCGCTGTGCGCTCTTTGGAGTTCGTGAACCAAATTGCGAACCAATAAGCATTGCTTTGGAAACCATAGAAGCCACAGGTATAAGTGTTGTCTGGGGACCTTATGACGTCTGAACTATCATCAACAGATAGAGAGGAACCCCTCTGAAGATGGTCTTTAATGGTGTTCTTTGAAGCTGAAGATTCGATCAAGGAACAGAAGAGGAGGAATAGAAGGAATATTTCTCTCATCATTTGCTGTTTACGATTTCTGAAGCCAGGATGTAAGCATTTTATTTGGTTTATCAAGCTGTAGAAGATTTCAGTTTTGAGATTCTATATTCCACAAGTTGACCGTGCGTGGACTACCTCAGTCGTTTTAAACTGCATAATTTAGTCATGGTTGGAATTTTTTTTTTTTTTTTTTGTACGTATTGTATTTTAGTTGGCTGTTTTCTTGAAACAACTATTGGATTAAATTAAACGCAGCCCTCTAGTGCAGGGAAAGCAGTGGGTCAGCCATGGTTGTTACTTGTTAGCTTCCTTACTCTATTAGTCATTAATAATTTGTTATTTTTAATATTTGGTTGGATTTATACTCCAAGTTGGACAAAAACTTTTGACACATTTTCTCCAAGTTGACAGACTTGGAGCAAATGGTTTTTGCAATCGGTTAAGTTCTAATATAAGAAAAAGGAAAGCCAAGATTACCTCACGGAATTATTATTACTAACTACCAAATATACACGTGTTACGCAAAAATACTTATATAGTTGAAATCATTATAAATATTTATTTTTAATATAATTATAAATATGTATTTTTAATATATCAAATAACGTTGTTGTTAAGTTTGATATAATAATTCGTATACTAAATTGATATAATATATTGATTATTTTGAATTATATGATAATATATACATTTATTATAACCGTATAATCTCAAATGTTTGAATAACTTCTACCCTCGAGTGATATATAAATAAAATTAAATATAATATATGATTTAATGATATTTATAATTGTTAATTGTTATTGTTAATTAATTTTTTAAAATTTATTTGCTTAATATTTTAATTTCTATCATTATAATTATTTAAAACATCAAACATTGTTTTTTGATTTTAAAAATAACAATATAATCATTTATATAAAGTTATTTTTAACTATTGTTATTGTACACTACTAGAAAATTGGTGCAATAGCTACAGCACAATTCGTAACTATTCCGTAGCTATAAGCGGATAGCTACGAAATTGCTACGAAAAGTTAGCTGTAGCATAATGGCCCGTGGCTAAATTATAGCTACGGATTAGCTACAGAATCACTTCGGAATAGCTACGGAATTTTCCGTAACTACTGTAGTTACGGAATAGCTACGGAAATAAATAGCTACAGATTTCTTACGGAATAGTTACGGAAGTGAATAGCTACGGAACTAAATAGCTACGGAAATTTGTAGCTACTCCGTAGCTAACTTCGTTTTATTTAAAAAAAATTTAAATTTAAAAATTTCCAATTTTTTGTCAAATACCACATTCAATTCACATTTGTCCCATATACCATATAAAATACACCAAAAAATGTCCCTAATACCAAGTTCGATACATTCTATTCAATTGTCCAAAATACCATACAAAAATAAGCACCAACAATACATAAAGAATACCAAGTGTTTACAAAATCAATTGTTCCAAATACCATACAAACTAAGCACTAGCAAAACAAACAAACAATATCAATTACAAATTCAATTGGTTCAAAATACCTATCAATCGTCCTCGGGTGGATTATCGAGGGACCACATGATTAATTTGAAGACATATCCATCATCCTCAACCATTTCCATTTGTTGTTCCATGGTAGAAACTTGCACACGCAACCTATCAACCTAAAAAAGAGTAACACAATTCAATACTTAAACAATAATAACAATGTACTTTAGTTTATTATAACAATGTATTTTAGTTTATAATTATAGCAATACACTTAACTTTAAATCCATAATTGCAATGTACTTTTGTTTAATATCAATTTAATCTATAAAAACAACATACAACTGAACTTTAATCCATAACTTTAAAACCATAATAATAACAAGGAGATTATGCTAACCTTCAAAAAAGTCAAGCTTCGTTCTATTGTGCCAATTAACTGATTAGCCCCTACTCAAACATAATCACATTATCTAAAAACCAAAACAAAAACCAAAAATCAATAATCAAGAAGCCAATAATAAAGAAGCAATAATCACATAAACCATTTTCTAGCCAAGCCTCATTCTACTCTACAACCAATAATCAAGAAGCAAGTTACACAAACCGAAAATCAATCATTTGCTGGATTATATTATCAAATTGAACCAAAAATCAGATACACTTAGACCTACTCTAAGCTTGCACTCGAAATCTTCACAGTAAGAAGAGAACAAAAAGAGATGTCACTGGAATAGCTACAACAATAGCTACAACAAAAGTACTTTATTTTTTTAATTACTATAATGAAGTATTAATGCGACACCGTTACAGTTGAGGGCCTGGCAACGGCAGGTCGTCGCCAAACCTTTCTTTTGCCCAAACATTAGAAAACAAGGCGCTTGGTTTCATTCTTACACTCGCAACATCGTAACTCTCTCCTTTGTGTGCTGAATGTTCGACAACACTAATTCCAGTGACATCAAGTTAGTGACATTTGGGTCTATACTCTATACAAAAACAAAACAATAGCTACAGAAAATTGGTGTTGAATGTTCGAAAATATTACTCTGTACTCAAAACAAACAAAGCAATCAATGATGACGATAAATGAATCCCAACCCAAAACGAAAACCTAAGTGAAATTAAATAAAAAAAACTTACTTGAAAGATTGATGATGATGGCGATGACAAGTAGATGACAGCGACGGGAAGGAGATGCCGACGACGGCAAAGAGATGACGGCGACGTAACTCCGGTAGCGGCAGAAAGAACAAACTCCGGTAAGAAAATGACATCGATTGAAAGAGAAGATCGAAGGCGAGGGTGTGAGTGGGAGGTGGAACCGTCCGATTGATAAAGAAGAGGGAAACGAAATGAAGGAAATGAGCGGGATATTAAAAAAATCCGCGTTTGAGCCCGCTTAATGGAGGCTGAGGCGGCCAAATAAAAAATTAAACCCTAAATTGGAGAAGGCAAAAAAACATGAAAAAGGGTGGGGTAAGACTTGAACTCAGGGAGACTCCGCATATAACCAACGACACTACCGCTTGGCTAGGAATGCCACATCCTTACTTACTTTGTCTACATTTGCTTTTCACCACTTCCATTTTCGTTATTATTATTATTATTATTATTATTATTATTATTATCATTATTATTATTTATTATTATTATTATTATTATTATTCGAGTCTTAATTTTTTTTTTTGGATAAATTTACTTACATATTTAAGACACGAATAGTTAACTTTCTAAAAATGGTCAACTTTCTAAAATTGGATTTTTGATGCATTTTTTTAATATAAAAAAAAATTCGCGTTGACCTGGCAGCTCGATCCCAGCCAGGGGCTCTGCCCCTTGGATCCCGCCAAGGGCTGCCGCCCCTGGGACCCCGCTCCCAAGGGCGCTGCCCCCATACCCCCGTTCGTTTAGGGGCTTCTTCCCCTAAATAACAATGTACTTTGAATCTTGAAAAACTTGAACAAGTGTGCAGTCCTACACCATTCTAACTTGTTCAATATTCAACAAGATCACCTTTGGTCAACAATTTTAATCATATTACAATTAAATAATATTAATGATATAAACTCACCAACAAACCTCCCCCATTTAAGTGTAATCCTGATTAAACTTAACACAAAACATAAACAACAACAAACTGATGCATAAATGATGACGATGAGCAGGATGATGATGATGACGATGACTATTGCTAGTGTGATGGTGATGGTGATGGTGGTGTTAGTAGTGGTGGTGGTGATGATGATGATTATGGTTATGGTGATGGTGATGGTGATGGTGATGATAGTGATGGTGATGGTGATGATGATGGTGGTTGTGATGGTGGTGGTGGTGATGATAGTGGTGTGATGGTGATGATGGTGATGATGGTGATGGTGATAATGATAATGATGGTGGTGATGGTGATGATGATGATAGTGGTGTGGTTGTGATGATGATGATGATGATGGTTGTGGTGATGATGATGATGGTGGTGGTGGTGGTGGTGATGATGATGATAATGGTGACGGTGATGGTGATGGTGATGATGATGGTGATGGTGGTGATGGTGATGGTGGTGATGGTGATGTTGGTGATGATGGTGATGATGATGATGATGGTGGTGATGGTGGTGATCATGATGCTTATGATGATGATGATGATGATGTAGGTATATGTGTTTATGAGATGTATGTGTATGTATTCATAAGCACTATAATGTTAAACCGTTAAACGAGCAAATGGATCTCGTATGTGCACACGACTTTATAAATGATATTAATAGCTATAAATTGGTGAAAATATAGATAATTATGTATAATAAAGGTGTGAAAAAAACGGAGTGAAAAAAACGAAGTTTGGTGCCCGAAAAACCGAAAATAAGAAAAATCCGTAGCTATTTTGCTACGGATTATGAAACGACCCAAAAATTTTTGTTTTTAATATAATCAAAACTGTCATCAGAGTATCATATAATAAAACCATGCGTGACGTATTCCAAAACATGATAAAAATACTATGCGGAAAGCTGTATCATACTACATCAAATCAAACAACTAAATCAATCCCAGGCTAAAGCTGAGGCGGTGGTGTGTGCGATGCCGTCATCCCGAGCTCTTCCCTTTGCTTGCGGAAGTACCTGAAACCAAAACTGAAACTGTAAGCACGAAGCTTAGTGAGCTCCCCCAAACTACCACATACCATACAATAACATATAAACACATATTGGGCCTTGCCCACTGCATCGGACCGAAGTCCGGAACTGACTGGAACCTTGTCCCCTGCATCAGACCGAAGTCCGGAACTACTGCATCGGACCGAAGTCCGGAACTGACTGCATCGGACCGAAGTCCGGAACTGACTGGGACCTTGTCCCCTGCATCGGACCGAAGTCCGGAACTAACTATCGGACCGAAGTCCGGAACTGACTGGGACCTTGTCCCCTGCATCGGACCGAAGTCCGGAACTAACTGCATCGGACCGAAGTCCGGAACTGTCTGACTGAACATGGCATGGCATAACACATCAACTAGCATAACACATATACGACATGCTA